CTTCGTTCTCGTTATTTCCAATGATAATCTCGGTGTCCTTGAAGTCAGATTCGCGTAAGAGATCAAGAGGATGTTTAGGCAAGAAGATACCATCGATAGTTGGAGCGGATGGGAATCCCAGGATACCCCAATAACTGTTCCATTGTTGAACGGATATAGTTTTAGCATCGACGGATCTCATGCAGGCCATTACACGAGCTGGATTTTCCTGGAGCATGGTAGAATTACAGCCACAATCGTCAACGAGAACACGTGCAACCTCGTGAGCCTTTTCACCGGTCATGTAACTCCAGGGTGCGTTTAGGGTCCCACTTTGAAGTATACCACGGCGTACAAGGCCACGGGTTACCGGGGAAATAAGATGTAGGCTTGCCGAGCTTCCACCAGCTGATTCACCAAAAATCGTTATCAAATCTGGATCACCGCCAAAGGCAGCAGCGTTGTCCCGCAACCATCTTAATGCCAATGCTTGATCCCACAAGCCCATATTTCCTGGTGCCTCCTCGCTATTACTTCCAAAGTGTTTGTTCAAATATAAGAATCCAAATGCACCTACGCGATACTGCATCGAGGCAATGATAACGCTACTCATTGCAGCCATTATATCGGCATCGTAAACGTCGAGCGTGGCGGTACCAGTCATGAATCCACCCCCATAAATCCAAACGAGTATCGGTAAGCCGTTTCTCTCGTTGCTGTCAGGTGGTTCGGAGCCCTTATGCCTCAACTTAACTCTCTGGGGTACCCAGATGTTAAGATAGAGACAATCCTCAGATATATTGGTGTTAGGATTCCACATTTCTTCGCCCTCGAAGCCAGGGAAATACTCGTATCGTTCTTGATAACAGCTATTCGGTAATACCGTCGCATTTAATACACCGTGCCAAGGTTCGATAGGTAATGGCTTGCGAAAACGTAAAGGACCAATCGGTGGCTTTGCGAATGGTATTCCATAAAATATATGAACGTCACGTACTACGACGTTACGGCTAAATCCACGAACGAGTCCACTCGTAGTTTCAACAACGAGTGGATCCTCGTGTACGTCGTTACGTTGGCCAAGGACATCGGGACGACCATATCCAAGACTCTTCGTAATCAATGTTAGCACCAGCTGTGCTAATATCAACGACGAACCGATCGCTTTCATTTTGAATGATCAATCACCAAAATCGCTTCCCTTTTTCTATACCAATTGACCTTCTTCTATTTTCTTCCTCTTTCTCTACTGGACGTATTAACGAGACGTACGTTTTCGCGCGCACCGCTCGAAACGAGACGACAAACCCGGGCCACGGCACGCTTGGCCCGTGAGAGAGGCTCAACAAGTTAGCGAGTGGGGGAGCACCAGCTTTTGCGCGTACGGACGCACACGATTCTCTCTCACACACGCTGTCTCTCTCTCTCTCTCTCTCTCTCTCTCTATCTCTATCTCTATCTCTATCTCTCTCTCTTTCTTTCTCCCTACCTCCCTCCCTCCCTCTCACTCCCTCACTCACTCACTCTATATACCTACCTATCTATCTATCTATCTATCTACTTCTCCCACTGTCTTCCTCTCTCTCTCTCTTTTTCTCTATCTATCTCTCTATCTCTATCTATCTCTCTCTTCGGAGCTAAGCTACGTCGTATTCCCGAGAGACTTTTTTACGCCGGATAGCAGTTCGGTTGGGACGACCGAGCACTACCTACCCTCTTACGCACGATCCTTCTTAGCTACCCTCGCGCTAACCTTCGACCCTACACACGCGCACACCCGATACACACGCACGCGCTCTCGGTCCGTCTCTCTTCCCTCCCTTTTTTTTTCTCTCTCTCTCTCTCTCTCTCTCTCTCTCTCTCTCTCTCTCTCTCTCTCTCTCTCCCTACCTCTCCCTTTATTTTTCTTTTCTTCTTTTTTTCACTTCTCTTTTCGAATACTCAATCCAACGGAGAAAAATACTATGAGAACCCCGCGAGAATCAAATTTTATTGGCGTTCTCTTATTTTTCTTTCTTCTGTTTTCTTTCTTCTCTTTTTTTTTTTTCTTCCTCTCTCTTTTTCCTATTTTACGTCACTCATATGCAACCTCCTATCTTCTTCTTTCTTTTCTTTTCTTTCCTTTTCTTTCCTTTTCTTTTCTTTTCTTTTCTTTTCTTTTCTTTTCTTTATTTCTCCCTTCTTTCTTCCGTCTCCTTTCTTCTTCGATTTCGTCGTTGATTAACGAAACGATGTACTCGTTAGAAATACGAGAATTTTCAAACGACTCGAAGTATAATAATGAGGGACGTTGAAAAGCCAGAGACGCGTGTTCGCGCAGCGGCCGGCGTGCCGCGTTGCACGGGGTCGACTGATCGTGGAGGCATAGGTGGTACGAAGCGGAGGTAGCGCGTCGATGGTGGTGGTAGTGGCGGTGCTGGTGCTCACCACCGCTCCTGTTGGTGCCGCTGCTGTTGCTGATGTCGCTCTACTTCTGCTTCTGCTTCTACTACTGCTTCTACTACTAGCTTCTGCTTCTACTACTGCTTCTACTACTGGCTTCTGCTTCTACTACTGCTTCTACTACTGGCTTCTGCTTCTGGTTCTGTCTCTGATTCTGGCTCTGCCTCTATCTTTGGTCTCTGTTATGTTGATACTAATGGATGATGCTGATTGGTAATGACGACGATGATTATTGTCTGTGCCCTAGCGATCCAGTTCACGTCATTCTCAACCAAAAATATTTCTTACAATTCTAATATACAATCGTCCCTCTTTTACTTTATACATTTTTTTATACATTTACTTTTCCTTCGAGCAAATGACATTATTATTGGTCGTTCATTTTTAAAATGAATTTTTCTTTTTTTTTTTCTTTTTTTTCCTTTTTTTCTTTCTTTCTTTCGCTTTGTCTTGAGAAATAGACATTGATTTTTTTAAAGGTTTTTAATGATACCCTATGAACTCAAAGAAAAACTCTAATATGATTTGTTTCTTCTATGCTTGTGAAGTTTTCGATACGTGCGTTATCTATTCATAAAGTGAACGTATCATTTCTTTGTTTTCTTTTCCTTTCTTTTTTGTTTTTCTTTTCCTGTTTTTTTTTTTTTTTGATTTTATAAAAAGAACCGTTGTATTTATCATTTGTGTGAATGTATCAAAGTGACGATTTAATCGAATGTTTATAATTATGATTATTTTATGAATGCGATACTATTCGTTCCTGGAGAACACGAATTTGTTATAAAAATTTGAATTTTTCCGTTTGATTAGCAAATACATATCTATCGATCCGTCCGAAATTCCAGAATAGTGGTACGAGAGATGAGAGCGAACGAATGGAATGCGAGATTTCCGGGGTCCTTAGTTCCTCCTCTTCATCCTCTTCCTCCTCCTCCTCATCCTCCTCATCCTTCTCCTCTTCCACCATTCTCATCGTTTCTCTTTGCCTCGATGAGTCCTAACGAAGTGGAGTAGACGCGCTAGAGAACACGAAGATATCGGTGAATGGATTTTCTCGCAGCTCCATGCGGATATTACCAGTTAGCGTGCGACCATCTAGAATTTTATATATATATATATATATATATATATATATATATATAATCTTCTTTCTTCTCTCCTTTCTCTTTCCCTCTTCGCCATTCATCGAATCATTCGAACTATCAACAACAACACAACAGTAATAAAAAAAGTTTAACTTTCTGGATATACATGAACTGCGAATGTTACCTAACAAAGTCGAAAGTATCGATCTCCGTGTCCCCGAAAATCAAATTAATATCGGAATACGAAGAACGTTTGGAGCCGTAATACGATTAATAGACTTTGTACTTATTCAATCAAATCTATCAGGATGGACATCCTAATAATTATTCTTTAACTGGCGAAGTGTACAAAGTATACGATCGATAATGATTCGTTGTACATATTTATATAAAGGATAAAGTTAAATGAGAAATCAGAACAGAATTCAGAACAAAAGGAAGATTAACGATGGATCAAAATTTCTTGGACAATATCAATGAAACAATTAAACGTTCTTAATCGATACTTTGGGGCCTTTTTTCTTTTTTCTTTTTTTTTGTTCTTTTTATTACTTTTTTTTTTTTTCTTTTTATTCCATAACGTCGACCCCATTAGGACATCTAGAACAATAACATCTTAAGGAAAGTTAGCCCGAAGCGTGAACGAGGAAAGACGAGATTTGGAACATGCAAAGACGTCCAAAATCCGTGATGTTATTATTAATGGGGAAAGAGAGGGAATATGGGAGTTAGAGCGAGTATGGGAGGATAGGGATGATGGTAGTGGTGTTGGTGGTGATAAGGAGGAGAAGGTGTTGGAGGATGGATGGTGTTGGGAGAAGAGGAAGTCGCAGGTAGAATACGTAAACGAGATATAATTCTAACGCGACCTCGACGATTCCCATGGGTTTCTCGAAGTCCCGTCCGCACGCCTTGTCTCATGGATTAATTCCTTGACTGACATCGGGCTGCGCCTATTGGACAGTCCTCTTCTCTCTTTATATATATATATATATATATATATATATATATATATATATGTCTGTTTTATATACATATGTGTATCTATATAGACAATATGTATGTATGTATGTCATACATGGATAGATATATATATATGTGTACGTGCATAGACAGATATGGTATGCGTAATACAGGCTCTCACTATGGCTTCTCCTTCACGAGTGTGCTCGAGCGCAAACCGGCCCGTCATTCATTAAATTACATCGATTACGTGCTCGAACGATCATTGGCTCTCAGAGCCAATTTGAAAACGAGCTATCTTTGTAAGGCCTCCACCTCCATCTCTACGACCACCACTACCATCTCCTCCTCTTTCTCCTGCACTCCATCTCCACCTCCACCATCACCTCCTTTGACCATCCGACGTTTCGAACGCTATCGGCGTATTTCCCTCGTAATATCGAGTTAATCTCGCCGCAATGCCGAACCATACGATCCAACAATGATTCCACGTTCCTAAACCATCGATCTCATTCTCTCTCTCTTGTTCTC